CCCCCGTTGGTCAGTACTGTGCAGCTTCCAGCTCAGGGGGCTGGCCAGGAGCCAGCCAAAGTGACACAGGCTTTTCCAGGGCTATTTCTGGCTCTGGCTGGCTGCAGCTACCTCTTCCTACTCTGTGCAGGAGACTGGACACTTTCTACCGTGTCAGGATGCCTCACCAAGGCTCTGTGGCTGGTAGCCAATGTTGGTGTCCTTATACCGGCACAGCCCTGGCACATGCCAGCTTCTCCCCCAAGAGCATTTATTCACCAAAGACCCAGCACCAGCCCAGGCCACCCACACAGGGACAGGACACGTGGCCGTTTCCAGCCCCGCCCCAACTGCAATGATCCATTCACACATGGAGACATGTGAATCACAACCTTTATTTCCAGCTTTTTCACCCTGGAATAAGCTCGGTTTGTGGTTACAACTATTTACAAAGTGCTGAGACTGCACAGCGGCGGCTGGGGCCAGCCTGGGCCACCAGCCCTGGAGCAGAGCAGGGCACACAGAGGTGGCAGCAGTGGCAGGACACAACAGCACGGTGACAACATTCAAGACTGTGAATACCATGCAGGGACAGGGGCCTTCCCTTCCCTGGCACAGGCATGGGCAGCAGCTGAAGAACCATGAGTGAGACCAGTTCCCAAATGGGAGCCACAGTGAGGTGCCAGCAAGTGTGCAGGGACACAGAGCAGTGGTTCACAGGATGCACCCAGGGTAGATGGTAATGTCATGCGAACGAGCAGCAAGGAGCACCAGGGCAAGGTCCCTTGCAGAACCACCAACCCTGAAGGTGGTGGAGCCCCAAAAGTGGTGAAGATGTAGCAGGAGATGGGCTCTCCCGGAGGTGGCACCTTCTTCCTCAGGTCTCCTCCAACTCCTCACAAAATTAGGGATGTGTAACTGACAGGAACTAGGCCAGTGCTATTTCCATGGCAGCAGCGGATCCAGTCTTCATCCACAGTGGAGAGAAGCTGCAGGATGTCCCCTTTTTGGAAGCTCAGGTGACCATCAGCAGTGCCCGTGTGATCACACAGCGCCCGAACTGCCCTGCACAACAACCACCGTCAGGGGTTCACCTCCCCAGGGACCACTGCCAGAGGCTCCCACAGGACTTGGGAGAAGTTTGGACACTCGTGTGGAGCCAGTGACACTCTTCACGCCTCCTCCTCAGGCAGAGATGCCATCTGACACTGAATCTGATCAAGAGGCCACATAACAAAACCATCCTGCCAAGCAGCCCCTCAGAGCAGCAGCAGAGTGTGAACAGCTCTCGTGCAGATGTGGTGGGGTCATCTAGGGCAGGGGAGGAGGGACACAGCCAGTCACGGTGTGGGACAGCCACTCACACTCCGTGCTCGCTTGGACAGATGCTGCACAAGCACAGATGGACAACCACTACAGCTTTTTTGACCTGCCACCATTTGGTCATAGCTTCCACATGGCTGCTCTAAATCAGCTGCTCTGAATTCAGAAAGCATACAAGAGAAAGAAAATACTCCAAATTCCTGCCAAAAAAGTGTCTGGGAAAAGAAGCGACCACAGCAAAGCAGACACACAGGCTCACCTAAAGCTCAGCAGGAGGTGGGGAAATCCCAGGGAGGGGCAGGGAGCAGTCAAGGTGCAAGTTGGCAACAAGGCCAAGGGTGACAGCCCTTCCTCCCCAGAAAGCTGTGCAGGACATCCAAACTGTGTCTGGAAACAGCCCCTGCTTCCCCCTTCCCAGAAAAATCCACCACCAGCTTTCCAGCCCCAAACACTACAACTGCCCTTCATCACCTATGGTTCTGGGGTGAGTCGGACGTGTTCCTCTCTGGCTGCTCTTGAGCAGGGGTCTTCTCAGCCACCAGCCCCTTCACCACCATGGCCAGGACACGAGTGCTGGGCGACAGCCACCTCGAAGGTCTCCTGACACAAAGCAAAGGAAGCTACAAGCTCATCTGAGAAGCCTTTTCCCACTCATCCTGCTCAAACTATTCTGGTGATCCAGCTGGCACTGAGCTGTGAGCTCCTGCTGCTCTAAAGGCCTGATGCAATTTAACGGGAGGCAGCACTTGCTATGTGTGCTAATCCCAGGAGCTCAGAACCTGGATATCAGGCAGCACAAGACACCCCATGAGGCCACCAAGCCCCATGGTGTGCTCTCCTTCCACTGCTTGGGAGAAAAAAACCTTCCTCAGCACATGCCACTTCCCCCCACCCTGCCTGCCCACGCCATGGCTTACCTGGATCCAGCTGAGATGGTGTCAGGGCTGGGAGGGAAGCTCCTGGCAGAGGGGCTGGTGGCTCCGAAGAGCCGACCCAGCCAACTGCCCTTGTCAGGACCGAGAGGACCACCTGCCTCTGGGTCAGAAGCTGCTGCCCAGGTCTTATTTGTATGAAGCTCTGGGGAAATAGCCAGGAGTTTCTCTCCAGCAGCAGGACCATCTGGTTTGGTGGGTGCTCCAGCAGGCAGGCTAAGGTCTTCAGGAGGAGGGCTCCCAGAGCTGTCAGCACTGCTGCTGGACTTGGCACCAGAGAGTTCAGGGACAGCTTTGGTCTGAAGGAGCTGCAGCTCTGTGCCTCTAGGCTCATTCACAGATGTTTGGGGTCGCGCAGCCTGGCCGGGGCTGGCATCCCCTGCAGCCGTCCGCAGCTTTGTCCACCAGACGAAGGGGAACTTCTCCTTGCTAGAAGTGGTGTAAATCCTGGAGGCCTGGCTCAACTGGCCCCACCAGCCACTGAGGCCAGCCCCAGCATCCTGAGAGCCTGCCTCAGGCCTGTAGGTCTCCAGGGAGCTCTCAGCTCCCAGGAAAGTGCGACTGAGATGGTCGCCCCACTGCAGCACCTGCTGGAAGGTCTGCTGCAGGGCAGCCCCCACCTGGGGGCCAGGGACCAGCCCGTGCACCGTTGTGTGAGCCCTTGTGCTGCCCTCCGCACTGGGTGCCCTCCCCAGGCTGTCAGGGGAGAGCTCATCTTCCAGGCTTGCCCCTGCAGCACTGCCTTGGCCCTCCAGAGATGGCTGCACAGCCTCCTGCACCCGAGCGGCACGATGGGCAGGAGACAGGGCTGACTCCAGCCGCCGGGACAAGGGTCTTACATCCATGGAGAGGTGATGGTGTTCAAAGAGCAGGTCAAGGTGGAAAGTCAGCACCGAGAGGGGCTGGATGAGCAGCAGCAGTTCATCAGCGAGATGGGGAAGAGGGCCTTGGCTCAGGGCAAAGAAGGCCGTGGGTGAATACATTGTGGAGATTACACCTATGAGATATGGACAGTGCTGGACAGCTGCAAAATGCCCTGCCCTTGCCCACACCCCCCCTCCCAGGCCCAGCTGGTCTGTCCCAGCAGGTCAGAGCTTCTGCTGAGACTCGTATTGAAGAAGCACCATGGAAAACAATGCCCTTATCCACAATGGAACAAGCCTTGTGGAGGAACGGGCATTGGATTATCACCCTGGCAAGTAGAACAGGACATGGGTGGGAAGCTTCTGGGCACTGTGACCTTACCTGGGCTCTTCTGCAGGTGAGAGATCCACAGCTCCAGCTGCTTAATGCTAAACAAGACAAAGAGAACCCAAGTTAGAGTTCTTGGGACTCTGTTCCAACCTTCCAGCACAGCAAGGACAGCCTGGGCCAGCAGTGCCGATACTCACTTCAAAAGGCCAAGGATAAAGGCATGAAACTTCTGTCTGGTGCTGTTGAGAGGGGCCAGCCCAGCCACATGCCAGCACAGGGAGTGGAGAGAGCGGGTGTTGGGGCCTGTGGAACACACAACACAGTCACTGCGCTGGGTGGACATCAGCCCCTAGAGTGGGCTGGAAAAGGAGTCCAGGCACCTTGTGATGCCAGGAGCTGCAGGCTGCCTCACACCAACCTGTCTTCACAGAGGCTTCCACCACGCTCCAGGGGGAATTCTTCCTCTGGCCTGTGATAACATCCTTCTGGAATGGCTTCAGCCCATCCTCCACCAAAGCATAGAGCACAGGGCAGAGGGTGTGCAGCAGCAGATAACCCACATCTGGGCTGAGCCGGCTGTCTCCCAGCTGGGCCTGAAGTGAGGCAGCACAAGGATAGGGAGGGGAGTGGCAGCGTCTAACACATCTGCAGGGCAGGACAGTGGGAGCCTCC